TCCATGATTGTTCCTCATCACCGAGAAGTACGGCTGTGATGTCTTTTGAAACATCTTTCATTGTGCCCTATGTAAGCTAATGAAAACACTCTTAATAAAAGCAAATGATGCCCAGGATAGACTACAAAAATAGCACCTTTTTTACTGCTACAGACTGTCTACAACCACATTACAGCCCTGACTTAACAATCTATCCCTCTTCTTCACAGTACTTGTGCAACATGCTGAACTGTAATGTGTGCACTGCAGCCCCTGTAACACATATGGTCATTAGGAAAGAACCAAATGCTTTGTTGAATGAGAACGGACTGAAACATTGTGTTTTACCGCAGTACAGCCCATTATCCCATTCCTTTGATCTAGATTACCTCTATCTACATTTAAATTCATGTATTTCTCTGAACTACCTCTCATCATGAACCAGCAAACAAATGAGCTAAGAGGAAGTTGTATCACTGACAGTGTGAGATCAGAGGTCCACTGGAAACTTCCTGGGCACTTCAGATAGCATGCTACCTACAGGATGCTGGTTGGTGCCCTAAAAGAGCTTCTGCCCAGGGAACATCCATGCTGGGCAACAGAAACATACTTGCTCTTAAAAGAGCCATTTGGCTACCCATCCTTTCAAGCCTGGGAATGTAAAGCCGGCCCTAATTCTTGCTTATTTGTGAGCACACTGGGAAGCAGAAAGTGAAAGGGTCACATGTGTTTCCATTTTGTGCTTTTATAACCTATGTTAGGTAACGTTATACAGTTTGATTGCCTGACTGAACAAAAAAGTTATTCAAGGTTTCAGTTCTGCATGCTGCCCCTCTGAAAACCTGGTGGAAACACTTGAGAGCTTGTTGAAGATCCAAGATCTTTGGCTACTTTTAAGGGAGTATCTGAATACATTATGTTCTGAGTTGCCTCCTCCTTCTTTCCCCAACCTGCCATCTGTACACATAACATGCTATATAAAGGGTCATATGACATATGTTGCCCTTTTATCTTGCTCATAAGCATCTTAGGTTATAATTACATGTCTAGAGCACACCTAGCAGGAAATGTTTCCTAGTAGTCCAACCATACAGAACTAGTTAAAGAGCATCTTCTACCCAGCCAAAAACCCACAGTGACTTTTGTGACAAGCTGATTTTTTTTCCCCGGGGAACTTAAGAAAGTTCCTGATTTGCCACATATATATGATTTGTCAGGAGGAATTTCCCACAAACAATTTCAGTTCATGTTCTATAGATTATGCATTGGCCAAGCATGACTAAAAACTTTCAGCTGTAGCCCATGTACAAAAGATGTCTCATTTACTGAAGTATTGAGATCTAACTTTTCTTCCCAGAAAGTGAAAGTTTCTAACATGTCCAGTGGACCAAACATAAATAAGACACTCCCTTGAAGGAGCACTGGCAGCCACAAAAGTAATGAAAAGCAATTTGCCTTATTATTCGTTTGCTATAGCCATTTAGTTGAGCATTCCAAGTACTTGTTCATGCCTACACTCAAAGGGCAGGAGCAGGTCTATACATCTCAGTAAGTTCTTATGGCAGTTACCAGCATCCTCAGTTTTAGTAATTTCATCTCTCATTTTTAACTTACAAAATTTCAGTCAACAGTCTGCTTGCTTGTTCCCAGGCTACAAGCTTCTGGCAGCACATACTCAGTTTAATGACAGGCTTAGGTCTGTTCCAGCAGATTATTAAAAAAAACCCCACATTCTGATGAAAAAATCATTTGTGTTTAAATAGCTACGCAGTCCAATGAGACAATTTGAGGGTTTTGGCTGGTTTTTCCTCTCTTACGGACCTTTATCAAGCCAATATACACATGCACACAGACAGTATTCAAAGGAGAGTTTAGCAATGTGTTTGTGCTTAAGTTTCATTACCTGCCAAACACATTACAGTAGGTGCATTATTGTTGCTCTGTGTTTCCATAGCCAGGCTTATTCAAGAGACCAAGTAGCTTAGCTTAACACTAGTCACATAAGGTATGCCTTGATTGTTTCTTTTAAATATGACTACTTTGAACTTTAACAAGGATGCATATATACTTTAATACTTGTCAACAATTTACTGTAATAGCAGCAAGGTGGCTGATAAACTGCCAATTATCCTTCTTCCATGTGCTAAATTACTGCTACATATTTTTGGAGATCCTAACAACAGTGCAGGAGAAAGGACATCAAATGATGCTTAGAAATGTGATACACATTTTCATTTCACACTCCATCAGTTTTTACAACTAGAGCTCCATGAAATGTATGAGAATACTTGGCTAACAGCCATATCTACTGAGGTGTAAAATAAGGATCAGATCTCTTTTAAAGAGAGTTTCATTTTCTTTAAATCAGATGTTGACATTTTTCCAAAATATATTGTAAATATTCCTTACCTCTACTCATCGATTAAGTTTGAATCTCTGAATCCAATTTTGACCCGTTCTAATGGCATGTAACCAATACACAGTTTCTAAAAACAGCTTTGTGAAGCAAAATAAACCAATTCATCCTTCCACTAAACTAGAACTAAAATACATTAAATTGTATAATCGCTGCTGTTAAATCTTTTCAGTTTTACTAAGCTATTGCACTCTGGAACAAGAAACAAGTGTATTATTGCCTTTAGAGTCAGCAAAGTAAAGCTATGAGCATCAGCAAAAACATCTTTTAAATTCAGATTTTAATCTGTCAGGAAAGATTAAAGCTTCATACATACATAAAAGGGGAACTATAAAATGATAACAGATACATAGCATGGAATCATTACGCTTGAACAGCTGCTGTTTTAGTAGTGTAGTAAAGCAGAAAATGTCTTTTACTCACCCCTGTTAAACCAGAAACTTCTCCTTTTGCTAATGGTCGAGTGATAGATGCAGTGTAAACTCTGGCATCTGATAATGGTTGCCCCTTCATGAAATGTTTCCCAGCTTCATAAATATTCACTTCCACCATTTTACCCATTAACAAAGGATCCTTTGGTACAAGAACCTTTGAAATAAAGATAAAGACATAGTAAATGCCACAAAGAACATCAATGTCTCCAGCTTCCGCTCAGGAAACAGGTATTTTATAAACATCAAAGCAAATCTTAAAACTTAAAAAATTTAGTCACCAGCATACACTATAGCCCCTGACACACTTGACCAGTAACATCTCCAGCTTGTGTTCTTCAAGATCTTTGCACTGTTAGCTCAGCTTTTTTTCAACTCAAACCAATTCAGTGAGTTGTGTTTTTTGATTGATGAGAATGTTGGGGCTGAGTTGCAACATTTGAAGCCAGACTTAAATAGTTTCCAAGGGTACTCGTACTACACAGTTGTAACAGACTGCTGTAAAGCTTCCTGTTTTCACATCTATCCCATGATACTGCTTTTTTTAAAAAGATGTTTTTGAGTCTGTAAATGCTTTGGGACAGAAATTATGCCCTACTTTCTGTTTGCACAAGGCCTTATTTTGATTGTGCAGATCCTTTGAAGCTGAGATGCATGATTGACAATGAATGCTTGTAAAAATGGATGAGTGTTTCTTTGGTTAGCAACTAGTGCCACCCTTTCCTCAATATGCCATAATATCAGACAGTCCCATAAGAACTTCACAAAGAAGACACGACGTAACAGATGTTCTTAAATCATTTGTGTTACAAAAGAAAGATCCCAGCATACAGGAGCAACATTTTTTGCTGGAAGAACAAGTGGCATAAAAAGGCTTTAAAAAGAGAGCAGTTAAAGACCGAGTCATTTCCCGATTAAACACTGAAAAAAACGAATCACAGGGACTTAATCACATTTACTTAAAGCTCATTGAGACACAAATGCAACCTTTTCAAAGGAGATGAAGACAAATGTGTATCTTGATTTTTGGATGCTGAAACTGAACTGCCTTAAAATGCTTTGAGTTTTAGATGACATGCAGAGAATTTTCAGAGGAAAACTCTGTACCAACCACATTTGGAGAGCATTGTGTTGCCAAACAGTGCCTCTCCATTCCCACTTATTACAAATATCAGTTGACCCACTTGGAGGAAATCATCACTCGTAGCTTCCCTTTTTCTCTGAAGGCTCAAGGTGTGCATGGCTGCAGGATTTTCCAGATCCTAGGATTCTGCTGAGCTTCCTAAGCATCTTCCATGAAAAGCAGACCTCTTTGCCTTTCAGAGATGGGTAAGATGAGACTAACTGGAACTAAGTGGCAAACCCAAAGCCAGGATCCTAATGCTGAGAGAGTATTACAATAAGAGTAGGTCACAGTTCTTCCCACGTCATTCGTCTCAGGCAAATTTAAATCAAAGGAAAATGAGGTAGCTAAGCACCACTGGGCTGTGACCTCTGTAAATCTTGGCATCTCCATACGTGAAATGGCATCAGCTAAATATAAAACCTCAGGGACAGACATGGGCAGGGGACTACTACTTCAGAAAGAGGTTAAATGAAAACATCTGGGTGGTACTGTAAACAACCAAGCAGCCAGGCTTGGTGTACACTCATACATTTTTCTGATCTAAGCCTTTGTTAGGAAAAATTCCCCAAACATATTTCCAAGAAACAAAGCCATACCAGCAGAAACCCTCATCTTGACTGCTGCTCTGGCAAACTACCCTTTGGTCAGTTCAGACTACTCGGTTCAATGAACATCACCAAAGTCTCTACAAATGTAAGCTGTAATTGTACCAAGAAGTCTGTCAGTGTAGCTCTACTGATATGGCTTTAATAGAAAACTCTTTTAATATAGATGAGGTCAGTGAAGAGAGAATAGGTTTGATAACTATTTGAGTTAACAGAACATTACACTGGGATTCTCAGCTCCAGCTTCCAAACTGTAATTCAATATTTAGTGACTCAAGAGTGGTTTTCAATTTACTATCATCAAATTCACTGCTATTAAATTTGAGTAAATAGCACCAAGTCTTGTACTTATCTGGACAAACAGTAATATATTATCATTGTCAAACATGCCACACAAGATTTTAGGGAAAAACCATGCATTTTAAAAATGGAAAGTAAGTAGTCCATAATAAAATTTAAAATTACTCCTTATGTTAGCATTTGTATTTCATGTATTCTTCACCAGTCCCAATCAGGAGTGGTATTAGGGGCTGTATAAACACCCCATAAAACATCTTCTTTTTGCACATACTGATTTCCTTTAATTCACAAAACTTTCATAAAATAAGCACTGAACACCGAAAAGCCCCAAGCAATTTCTTTTTAATATCTATATGGAAAACTATGTTCCTCAAATACGACTGATAAGCTACAAAAGCAAGGAACAGCAATATGTAAGATATAGAAGAGGCTGGAGATTAACTACAAGAGATTCAAAAAAAAAAAAAAAAAAAAAAAAAATAGTGACCCAGATATCTAATAGAAGCAGATATTTCAAGAGCAGCAATGTTACTTACTACTAAGCAAAACTAAACAAATAAACGCTGTAACATAACCCAGAACCAGGAGAAAGCGCTATTGGTGACTATGGAAGTACAGCCATCAGCAGCCTCTCCAGGTTCAGACAACTGAATAACTAAAGGTAGCGAGAGCAAACTGTAGACAGCTCAGTGCAAGAAAATGAAGGACAAGGAAAAGGCAAAACCAGAATGAAATCATCTAAGCAAAACTAAACAAATAAACGCTGTAACATAACCCAGAACCAGGAGAAAGCGCTATTGGTGACTATGGAAGTACAGCCATCAGCAGCCTCTCCAGGTTCAGACAACTGAATAACTAAAGGTAGCGAGAGCAAACTGTAGACAGCTCAGTGCAAGAAAATGAAGGACAAGGAAAAGGCAAAACCAGAATGAAATCATGATGATTCAGAAAAGCTGATTTTGCTGGTTTTCAGCAAGTCATCTGCTTTTGAGCGAAAGTAATGATTTTGTGAAATAGGTGCTGTACTTCCTTCCTAGCTTACAGATAAAGTTTCTGTGTGGAAAGAATTCATTTATAGAAAGTACATAGAAGGAAATACAACATATCAGGCTGAAGTGTTAATCCTGAAAAAGTTTCTGACCCTTCCTACTGTTTGAATTATTTTTATTTTTAGTTTTAGTTCTTCAAATCGCATTGCCTGATTGCATGATTTTCTGAATGATGTATAGAAATTATGAAGATTCAACTATTCAGAAAACAATGCTTTGGAGACACAGAAATTAAAATGACTGTGCATCTCATAAACAAGTCTTGATGGTCACATCAAGAAATTGTTCCTGGAAGAATGTTGCCTGCAAAATGTTTCTTATTTCTTTACCATTCTTTTTTTTCCTCCACTGTGGCACACTGTGTTGCTGAGATTATCAGAAAGGAAAGATAAAACAGCAAGATGTTATTTTGTTTATGTAACTGTACCTGCTCATAGAAAGGATTGTGAGCAACATAGTAATTGGAATCAAAGGATTCTTCTGTTACCAGAACTCTCTGCCTCTCACCAACCTGGAAAATAAAAGACAGAGAGATGACTCAGAAAACAAAAATAATGAATTAGACTCAGAAGAGAGCTGCAACTACAAACAAACAGTCTCAGCAGAAATAATCAAATTCTCTGAACAAATTCTGTGTCAGCAAGAAGACGGGGCAGAGAAAGCCCTAATTCAAACTGCCTAAAACTGACAGGGTTAGAAGTCAGAATTGAGGGCTAGAACTGAGGTACTGCAATGGCTTAACATGAAATTCCAGTTCAGAAATATAAACTAATTTAGAAATTAACACAAAATTCCAGTTCAGAAATATACACAAGAACAAATAAAAATATCAGATATACACAGTCCATGAAAAAAAAACCCCACAAAACCAAACAACCCTTCAGCACAAGAACAAATAAAAATATCAGATATGCACAGTCCATGAAAAAAAAAACACAAAACCAAACAACCCTTCAGCACAAAATTCTGCAATCAATCACGGAAAAGGGTAACATCATCTGCCCCATCCCATCTGTCCCTCCACCCTTCCAACAGCCCTATGACAAACAAAACTACTAGCAGCACCTGAGAGAAAGTGGGAACTCTAGCACACTGCACAGCTTCTACATGCCATCAAGCTCATCTATTTACCTTTTTTTTTTTTTAAAGCCACACTTGTTCTTTACAGTGATAGGGCATCTCTTTATTCCTTCTTGGTGATTTCACTAAGCTGTACTCATGAGAACACATTGATTTCCATGACAGCTGAGTCAACACTGCATATTACAAAGACTCAGTGAAGAAGAGTTTTGAACAATTCACAGACACTGCATATTAAAGACCAACTAAATACCGGGCTAAAAACCCCAGTGTTTCAATGATACCTCCAAACTTTCAAATGCACTAAAACAGTTTAAAGGAAGCACCAGTTATACAATTAGTTAAGTGGGAGACCCCAAGGCAGATCAGTCACATTTAGGTGCCAAGTAAATATGAAACAAAATCTGACTTTCCCTGAAGTTCAAGATTCCCCACACAACATCTGAATTTATCCATTCCTGAGATTTGTAATCAAATTTATAGCCTAATTTCTGCAAACCTAGGAGGACATTTAGCTAACATTTTTAGTCTGAGCCCATCACTATTTTTAATTTTTTTTAAACATTTAAATGTGCCCTGGATTATTTTCAAAATGTTTGACAAATGCATTCTGCAAATTACAACTGTCTAGCAAGTTAAATTTACTCATTGCTTTTAGTGCTATTCTAAGAATCAAAAAGGTTTCACATTTTACTCCAAACTTTTAATATCTGTAAGCAAAGCTGAATTCAAGACTCTCCCCCTTCCCTGAAGGACTTCCATGGCACCCTAGGGGCAGCTGTTATCTAGAAGTTTTAGGACCTCCATCATAAAGGCCATGTGGATGAGTAAGAAGATGCAAGATGTTTTGATTCTTTAAGGTACAAGCAGCAAAAGTGAAAGACCAGGATTTTCTCTAACAGTCAATGGCAGAAAAAAAGAACATGAAGAAATAAGAACGGCAATATCACATCTACGTTATAGTGTGTGTGTATATATATAAACATATACATACTGTACATATGCATATATGTACACACAACCTGCCCTCATATATAACTCTCCGCTTGACAAAAAGAAAGACTTCATGGAATATCTCTTGCCTTCCCCTCCCTGTGCACGTACCTGGAGTATTCCCAAAGTAAGCCCTGGAGAGCAGGGGGACAGCGAGCAGCCAGCTTTCTGTGTAACCATTTGCCATTCCCCTAAACAGTGAGGTGTGTTTTTCTTCCCAGAAAACAGTTAATTCGAATCCCCAGAGGAGTGTTGCAAATACAAGTCACGAAAGCATTGGAGATAACAATGCCAGTAATAAGATTACAGTGAACATTTCCCCTGAATGGAGAGAAGGGCTTTTTTTGTTTGTTTGTGAATATTTGAGTCCATAGCTTTTAAAAATCACAAGCCAGTATCTGCTATAGCACTACAGGACCAAAGTCTCAGATGTCACACAATATTAAGAAAAAGAGGAGGATGATATGTTAGACAAGCAACATGCACCCTCAGGGAAACATGCTACCACTGAAAAGCACCAAGGCCAGTCACCAAGTCATGTCCTCATCTTGTATTCATTATTTATCGATACCATAACTTACCAAAACTTAATCAAAGCAATACTGGGTCTGTAACTCATTTCACAATTGTCTTGTGGTTCCCTGGTTGTCTCTGGTCATAATGCTCTGCCTTCACCGTCTCTATGAATCCTGCCTGTGAGGTAGTCTAAGCTACATGTGTTACCTTCATACTCTCAGATGACGGAATGGCAAGCATGATATGCAAAAAATAATTAAAAAAAAATAAATCAGAGGGAAGAAGAAAGGAACACCTGTGTTTGATCATCTGATATAAACAGTGGTTTCTTCAGAGACACATTGCCAGTTTTTCTTATCTTTCCCTCCATGAGCAAAAACAGTTCAGGTCTCCATGTCTCAGTGAGACAGAGCTTCTGGGCTCAGAATTTCTCAGGAATGAGAGGAAACCAGGAAGACTAAACTCGTCACACAGCATCAAAACTGTGGCATTAAATTGAGTACCAGAAATGCAGAGGAGCCAAACATCCTATATCAATTTACAGTACATACAAAAACACACACAAGACTAAGATGGCATACTGCAAGGAGTACATGGAAACCCGGTAATTGTTCACACAGTTACTGGATTTGTAGCCTTGGCCAAGGCTGGGCTCACAGAGGAAGACAATATTCAGCTATTTGAAGACTCTTTTGCCATAACAACAGAAAAAGAAAATTCCATTTAATGAGTTAGGCCACTGGGTATTCATGATCTACAAGACTAATTGGCTGCATGCATTTGTAAGACAGAAAATGACTATCTATCCTGCATCCAAGTATAATTAAGAAAAAATGTAAGTATGCAGAATGCTGCTTTGGTATTGAAATTTCTTCAAGAAGTAGAATATGTCATCATTTCTGGAATTATTCCCCTGGGATCTCTAAGTGCTTAAGTTTCACCTCTCTGAGAAAGAATTTAAATATGCAGAAACCAGACACGATATCTAATAACAGTCATAATTATAATAACCTTTGATGATTTTTTTTCAGGCATGTACCAGCAGAAGTAATTCAGTATCTTATTTTTATTCCTAGCCTTTCATCTGCTTCCACAGGTATGCTCTAGTTCCAGCTCTCAGGGAACTACAGTTCTGACAAAGCATCCAGAACTGAGGAAACTCAGCCCTAGCATCTCAATTTGGAGAGTCCTATATAAGTAGGATTTTTTTTCTTTACAGAGGATAACATGAAAATAATGACGAATGACAGCAAAAACTCGCCTGCCAACCTCCCCCATCCCAAGGTGGACTGGTCCCATGGAGAATTTGTTTTCATCAAAATTAACAAATGCTGCTGGTGCTATCACTTCCTACACTGCAACAGTTGCCAGGGACTTCGTAGATCTCAGAATTAGTAATCAAATCACTTATGAACTTTTATTTTGCTTTCATTTATCTTATGGGAAATTCTGACACGATAGTTCTATAACACAGTTTTTCCTTTACCGAATACTACAAAAAGCAGTTTTTCCAGCTGGCTGATTTTCTAAAATGAATGAATAGTAAGAAATGTCGAACATCCTTCTTGGCTGCAGTCAACCTTGGTTTATTTTTGAAGCCCAAACTGACTGAATCATATATAAAACATAAGGCTGGTTTTTAAATTCTACAATAGTATGGGTGCAAAAGTCAGGCCCTGTTTACATGCTTTGATAGAATATTGCTACTTAACATCAACAATGGCCTGCTGTAATTATATGCAGATAACTTATGCCTCTAATATTTTTTTCTTTTAGTTTATGAAAACTGTAATTGTTCCAGGTTGATTCACTATGTCTTGAAGCCAGAGCATGTGGCACATGATCCTTCTTACTCTTTCCTTATTTTTATCTGAATATTGCTAGTTGTGTTTTTAAGAGTCTCCATTTGGCTAAAAAAATTGAATATTAAAACAACTGTATTTCTAGATTTCTCTGATAGAAGGTGGCATGATGGACATACAGCCATCCCCACTGATTTAGAAGCAGTTGCCAAAGCTGCCTTCAGGTTGAGTTCAATTCATAGTGGAATTGATGAGCACCTCTCCATTTGTGTTGAAGGAGGCTGGCTTGAATTCTGACCCCACTCCCCCCACTGTGCAACATACTTAGTACAAGGCTTGGAAGCCATACAAAAAGCTACTTTCCTGTATTTGTTATTTAAATACGCCGTAAAGCGGGCAATAAAAAATACACACTGTGTGTATGTTTTAGCAGATTATTCTGATGTACAGGATATTTCTGGTAAACATGCATATTTTGACCTTTACTAAGTATATCAATGTTTAAGCAAAAGTAATTGGAAAGTGTTCTCTCCCTATTTTTCAGTTGTGTTCTATTTAAAATAAATTCTAATAGCTATGCAGACGATGTGTCCTTCCCTATAAAGCAGAGAAGAACTGCTGGACCTACTTTTTATGAATCACATGAATCCCTCTAAAATTAGAAGCCAAAAGTCTCAAAAATCATAATTAAACATTCTCTAAGCCTTCTAGTTATAGATTGTAGGTGTTTCCCTCTCCAGACAGGCAAGTCTAGGTGTGACACAACCTCCCTGTAAAAAGCACAAAGTTTGTTGAAACTTACGACATGACCATATTGATGATACCAGGGCACATCTCTTTCCAAACTTTCCTTTGTACTGCTTTTTTCTGCTATTCAGCAGTGCTCCTCCAACATTTAGGGTGTATACGTATCTCCCTTTCTGAAGGTAGCCCCGGAAACAAAGAATGGACTTGTCTTGGAGTTCTTCTATAGAATTGTTTGGTTATTAAACGTTGAGATTGGAAAGCAGTAACATCAGAACAGTTCAGCTCCTGAGCATGACAATTTTAATGCCACGATAAAAATAGTTTGCTAGCATACGGCATAGACAGCTGCCACTTTACTAGGGCTTATGCTACA